AGAATTATGTAAATCCCTTTCTTCTACATGGAAATTATCTCGGTGAACACTTGTAGGTAGTAAAAAAATCGACTAATGGACAATCTTCATAGTACATCTTCCTTCCAATTTGAAATATATCAACTATTTTGTTCTAACAATTATATCTAACTAGCCAAGAGGCCTCAAATGAACCAAGAGATAATATGCTTACCTTGATCACTTAACCATTGGTCTTCTCAGTATGCATCTACTCATGAGATATCATGTAGCTATAATTTATCATTCTTTACTCTCTTAATCCCTCGAATTTAAAACATGTGGATCTAAGATCTACCAATACTTGGATAAGGTTTGTGCAACTAATCAATACTAAATCAACCCGGTGCATTAGAAAAGCACTCCTAACCTAATGCCAACAAGCAAGGCATGAGCCAGCAGGATAAGGAAGGTCATGCCACTTCAACCCCAGGCAATGGGGCTTTCAATGCAAGGAAGAGAGAGAGAGTTTAAAGGGTGGCATGCATGCAAGAATATACATGTAGTAAATAGCATAGAGGATAACAACTTTTATTTTTAATCAAACAATTTTGTTACGGAAAGAAAAGGAAAAAGAAATAGGAGAGGAAAAACAAAAACATGTATTTCATTAATTTATTTCTATTAGAATGACTTCCACTAAAAAGATACCTCTTATCTCAATCTTCAAGTCCTCAATGCTCATTTGCATGCTCTTAAGAAGAGGTATCTTGCCTCCCTGGATGATCTATTGGCTCATACATTGGCTCTAATCCCTCAATCAAGCTCGTCATGCTGGTGCAGCTTGCTAGCAATCTGATTACATCCAAGACCTTAGAGTATAGACCCTGCATCGTTGTATTTGTCAATGCCTTTGGGTCAAAGAAATTCAATGTAAGTGGAAGTGTGGTTGTTGTACTTAATAGACTTTGCCTTCCGTTTTCCTTGATATTTTGATTTGGTGGGGTATATCGGCCACAACTTGCCATCACCCCCCTTAGATGTAATGCCTCTATTCATTGGATAATTCTCTTGGGTCATACAACTTCCTCAGGCAATATCCTTCTCAATAACAAATATTTCATCCCTAGTTGCCTCCACCAACTGTTGCACCTCTGCCAACTCTTCGTATAGCCTTAGAATCTTTCTCTCAATATTAGTCAACTTCTTTATTAAAGGGTGTGAGGTAGCAATTGTTGGAGCTTATGATCTCACTCAGCCACTCAACAAACATCTGCTCCAGCCATCCCTGGAAGGAATGAAGCCCTTTCATCTCTATCACATGTAATGCCACCCTTTACTAAAGCTCCATTATGGCCTACTTCATCTATTGGGAACATCTTCATCCTCATCCATATTGCTCAATGCTTTTTTCTTCAATTTTTGGTTCATCAATACCCGACAATTTTTTCCTTCAATTTATCCTTGTTAAGGGACAGTTCATTATCGTTCTTCATAGTAGCTTCATCCTCCTTATCTTTCCCCTAGACTCCAATACCTTCATCGTCAACCGCTGTCACAATAGCTATGAAGTACGAACACGTACACATTTGGACACAAACATGGGACACAACATGATCACAAAAAATAAGACACGACAACCTATAGATATGTTTTTATATTCAATAAGTTTTTAATAAAAAATATATAATTTTTTGCTATTTAAAAAATTATTAATATAAAATATATAATTATTCTAGATTTTCATATAATAACATTCTTTATATTAAACTAAATAGCACAACATATTCTAAACTCAATAGAATCCTCCAAATGCAAAGAAACCCTACCTGAAAAAGAATAAAATCTATCAGTCCGTACAAACAATTCATCTGTTCCTTAATCCTAAAATCATGAATATTAAATTTATAGTCATAATCATTAAAAATATAATGTGAACTACAAAAAAATAATCTATAGCTTCCTACATAACTCATTGCTCGGCTCCCAAAGATCTTTGAAACCGTACAATCTAGCTTCCTCTTCATATGGTGTTGTATTCACTGGTCATCTTCTTCCTCCATATCATCTTCACCTCAATATAAGGAAAAAAAAAAAGGCCTGCATCTGTCACCTTCATCTTCTTCCTCCCTTCTGTAGCTCACATCTTCGTTGTCGTTAGTGTATCATCTTCCTCTAATATCGATCAAATGAGCCTCATCGTCTTCAATGTCTCCGTGTGTGAAGAATTAGTTAGGACATTGCATTTTTTTTAAATATTCAATTAGGTTTTATTTTTTGGGCTCAATGTGTCGTATCATGTCCTGCGCCCATGTCCTGAGTTGTCTTTGGTGTGTTGCAGAGGAGATACTATCATGTGAGAGTCTAAATTATCCTCCTATACAACTTTTAGCATATAAGATATATGTCGGGGTATGTTTGAGTCATGTACATGTCCAACACATGTTTGACGTAAACACAAACACCATTAAAAAAACTAGCAAAACGGATAGTCTCCTTCATATGCAAAACCCCAACAATTTCTCCCAAGATTAACCACTCAATCATTATTTCATGATGGTAATGTTTTTCTTACCATTGCCTCACTTCTGCACTTTCCATTGCCTAACAAGCAAATTTTTGAAACATTTCATAGTGAGGCATAACAGTGAGGGTTCCAGCCATAATCAAAAGCTAAAGTGTTCAAAAATGAGTGATGCATATTTAATATTTATATTGCCTACACTTATAGCACTTTGAAATGGGGAAAATCCAAAACCAAAAGATCGCCGAGAGATTTAATACAATTTTCATCCACATGTCCATCATAATTAGAATGTAATTGAACCGCCACTAGCCTGATCGTATCATGTCATCAAAATATTTTTTTATTTGTATAAATGTATTTTGAGAGGTCGTCAAAAGATTTCCTATAGGGGTTTCTCCTAAGAAAGCATTCCTAGGATGACGCTTAAAATAGTACTCTTAGTGGTTTTCATGCCATTCATCTTCTTAAGCAAGCCTTTGCTTGTGTTCCAATGAGCAGTTATAGAAAATCTCACCTAAACCACTACACCATAACATAGAATGACCACTTGCATTTGATGTAGATTACTGTTGTTAAAGTACAGTAAAGAGTCCCATGCAGCACATTCAATGCCAAGCAGATTCACCCTATCAAATGCTTACCTAATTCATTGTGTTATCACATCGTGAGACTAGCATAAAGCTCAAACCTCATCCATGCATACACCACCGCACAGAATGCATATTACTTTATCATCAAAGTTGCACAATCCGCATGATATAACCAACCTAAATCTATCATGCACAGTCAGCACAAAGCTGATTATAGTGCACTCAAAATCACCATATATTTACCGACCCCTCGAAAAGATTGGTTAAAGGTGAAAATCCTTAGTCATGCACTTGCCATTGAATTTATTAATCTATTTGCGCACCAACCTTAATGAAGAAGGCAAGCTATCTTGCTACAACTTTCACAACCTTATCCATGAGTCTATCACTTTCACGTCAAGCTGAGGTAGAGGCTTTCGATAATAGCTCTTCCTAAGCTCAAAGGTTTTTTTCTAAATCATCTTATGCCACTACTTGTTCCTTCTGCTAACTAAAGAACGTTTCCCAAAGGTTAACTAACAACATTGTGCTAAGATAGGATCATAAAGCATATTTTATCTTGATTGCCCCAAAAGTAGAATCAAACCTTCAAACTAAACCCAATATAAATTTATCTCATCTTCATCTATCTTATTCTCTTTCTCCTCATAGATTTGCAGATAAACAAGTGTAATACATTCTCTCCTAAAAAACAAAAAAAAAAAAAAAAGTGAAAGACACAAATGAAAATATATAGCGGCAAATATATAAATTAATAGCCAACAAAAACATGTGTGAGCGTGCACGAGCGCGCACACAGACACAGACAAATATATAGAACATAGTTTGATTAGTTTTATCGAAACAAACACGAACAAATCTTGTTTTCAATTTATTAACAAATCAAGCTTACAAATTGTTTCATGTTTTAAAAATTAGTTACACGTATTCATTATGTAGCATGGAAAAAAACTTTATTGGAACAAACACAGATGGGAAAAGATTTGCTAGTCTTTAGTTTGATAACTAATCGCGCGTTAGAATTATATTCAAGTTTGGGACATTAGTTAAGAAAATAAGTTAAATGTGAGTTATTCATGAACATCAAGCAATATTAACACCTAGTGCTCATTCTTGAATTCCATATGAATTTACACCTATCGCACTGATTACAAGTGCAATGAGTTAAGGGTGTATTTAGATCCTTGTAGATGGAAAACATGTTATCGAAAGTGATGGTTTAATTTTCTTTTATTTTGCATAGGAACATTAAATCATAATATTTGGGAGAGTTTGGTAGAGTTTGAAATCGACGTTTTAGTTGTCAACTACACTCAAACAAATGTTAGATTTAGCAAAATTTTACCATTTTTTAAAACACAAGCAAATGAGCTCCAAGTTTGCTGCTTCAACGTGACAAATTAAGGAAATGTAAGATGGAGGCTTATCAGCCGAGATGGATGGCTAATGGATCTCACATGGGATGAGAGCTTGGTTGAGTATGTCTAAATTAGTTAGTGCAGGACGTACTAGAGTTCTAGTTTACGAGTGTGGAGGATATTTTTAAGGCTGTAATCGAAAGCATAGTATTACAACCATGGTCACAGTAGGCCAGTAAGAGGGTGCAGCAATTGTCTGGTGCTTCCAAATGGATCCCTGACCAAATTACTAACGTAATCGAAGTTCTTAAAAGTTGGACTTCCACTGTTCCTGATAAACAGATTGGGAAAAAAAAATCAAGATTTTAAATTCCAGTTCCCAATCAAGCAAAATAAAATGAGAATAGAGATGCATGCTTTCAAAGTCCCACAGAAGAAAATCTTTCCTAAATTAGTTGTCTGTGAAACCAGTGACGTCATGAAAAACATCAACCAAGATGTTGTTTGATAACATTATAATATGCTATGTAAGGAATTGGGTATATTTTCAACAATGAGATGACATACCAAATTCCCAACGTGCTTGAACAAGAGCCAGCTTTGGATTATGAACAAGAAAAGGGATGGCCCTCACAAGAAAGTCAGATTCAGGTTGAAAATCAGCATCGAAAATGACCAAGTAGTCACATTGGTGGACATAAGTATGCTCGATTCCTTCTTTAAGGGCACCTGCTTTGTATCCCTTCCTATTGTCTCTGACCTCGTACATTATATTCATGCCTTTGCTTGCCCAAATCTTGCATTCAAGCTCCACCAAATCCTATGGTGTAAAAATATTTTAAGAAAAAATCGGAAGCATTCAAAATTTAGTAGATAAAAAAACCTTCAAGGAGAATACTAGTCTAAGGGGGTTAGGTCACATAAGAATTGTTCTCTGCTACCACTAGATGTTTGGTTTTCATAGAAGAACCAAAGATTTTCACAACATGTTAGAAAAACAAATTCATCATAGGCAAGGAGTTATTTTACACAGATAATGACATTGGATAGGTTTTTAAAGCAAATCATCACGACAGAGAGTTGTTGCAAACATAAGACATGAAAATGGATATAACAGAATATTTTGCTCAATGTAATGAATCATGTGATTCCATAGAAGGCGTAAAACTGAGTTTGGTGGAGAGGTTTTGCCCATAATTAGAAGGCCAAGCAAAATCGTAACAATCTACAGTTATGTGAGGAACGTTGAGCATTAGTTAGTTTATGGCATTCAAAATATGATCAGAATACAGAAGTTCTGATAGAATCTGACATTTTAAGAAAATAAAATTTTGCATTTCAATACAAAGTTATGTATGAATTGAAGCTCACAAGAAAATCATCCACAATGACAAACAGCTTTTAGTTATAACAAAATATGTCATTTTTTCCACATTTTATCAGCAAGGGCATATAGCTATAGATGGATGTCACTGACAAAAATGCATTCGTTAGTCGTATAGTTCTGAAGCTTTTAAGAAATTGCTTTTGCTTACCATGAATAAAATACAAATAGCATATACTTTGACGTAGCATGAAGATGTGTATCACTACTAATAAATGGCTCACAATAACGCTTAGAAATAAAACTATTATGTTGTTGATGCACGATATTTCTAAGCCGAATATAGCAAACAAAACTGAAGTGATAGAAACCAAAGGTTGATCCACAGCTGAATTAGTAACATCCACAGTATTAGATCATAAAATGCCATTGTTGATGATTTATAAAACTATTTGAAGTAAGATAAGGTAGCATCAAATTTGTTATAATAATCAGTTAAAATTCTAGGTTAAAACTACAAGAAAATTTTTCTGTATCCTGAAAATTTTGACATACTAGGATGCATGGCTTCCAAACTATTAAAACACATACTTTGAGTTCAAAGCATCCAAAAGAAATCAAATTTATGTGCTTAGGACACCCTGCCCAACTAAAATGATAGTGTTACTAGTGGTTAAGGTATTGTTGTCCGAGCAATGTCAAATACGTTACAGTTGGACTAGTTTTCAAGTTTCAAATTTCCCAAAAGTGATCACTGATGCGCTCATATGTGTTGAGGAAGATGAAGCCCGATCCACTGCAATTTGGGAAAATTATTGAATTCCTTGCAAAGCTCTCTTATTTACGGAAATTTAATAATTTTATTTCCTAATGATTTTTTCTTTCCCGCCTCCCGTTTCTGCCATGAATAGTAGCTGCCTTTGGCGGTAAGGAATTTATAATTCCTTTTTTTGGTATAATGGAGGGTCCCGCCATCCTCCCGCCACCAGCTTGAATCCAGCTTGAATCTTGCAGAAGAAATTTGCTTCCTAAATTTCTTCATGGGCTTTTCTATTTAAAGCGAAGGAGTGAAGAATTAATCCTGTGTGAGGACTTCTCGGTTATTGCTTCTTGGTGAGATTAGACAAGTGCAAGCAGCGGTTCCATATATTGCTACTTCACGGTTTATTGTGTGTGGCTTACAGGAGAAGCAGAAGGCAACGAAAGGCTTAGTTTCGGGTTTCTCCTTTTTCGGCAGTGGCTCTTGGGTAGAGAGAGAGAGAGGAGAAGAGGGGTAAGAGAGAAAGAGAGAGTTCTTTTTTGTAATAATCCTCGAAGCTAATAAAATTCTCTGCAACTCCGTGGACGTAGGCAATTTGCCGAACCGCGTAAATCTTGTGTCGCCTTTTTTCTGGTGTAATTTTTCTCGATCTGTTTTTCGCTTTATTACCGTCGTTTTTCACAACAACTGGTATCATAATTTTGGTTCGGATTTAAGAAAGAACGATAGGCAGAGACGAAGTGATAGCATTGAGGATCGAGAAGTTCAATGACACAGATTTTGGTTACTGAAGGATGCAGATAGAGGACTACCTCTATGGGAAAAAACTTCATGTTCCGTTATTGGGAAAGAAGCCGGAAAAGATGTACGAGGCGGAATGGAATCTGTGGATCGACAGGTTCTGGGGGTTATTCGATTGACCCTGTCGAGATCCGTTGCCCACAACGTAATCAAGGAGAAGACTACTACAGATCTCTTGACAGCTTTATCAAGCATGTATGAAAAGCTATCGGCGAATAACAATGTGCACCTAATAAAAAAGTTATTCAACTTGAAGATGTCGGAAGGTGTGTCTGTTGCACTACACCTGAATGATTTCAATACTATCACAAATCAATTATCGTCTGTTGAAATTGATTTTGATGATGAGATATGTGCGCTGATATTGTTGGCTTCATTATCAAATAACTGAAAAGTTATGAGAATGACAGTTAGCAGTTCTGCAGATAAATCTAAACTTAAGTATGGTGAAATTCGTGATTTGATTTTGGCTGAGCAGGTGCGCATGAAAGATTCTAGCAAGACCTCGGGTTTGAGTTCGGCACTGATTGTTGATTCTAGATGGACATCACAAGACAAAAACTCAAACAGAGAAAAATCAAAATCAAAATCTGGTCAGTAGGCAACCTGCTGAAATTATGGCAAGGTTGACCACATAAAAAATAACTGCAGAAATCTAAAAGAACTGCAGAAATCTTAAGAAGAAGAAGAATGATGGCGCTAATGTTGTAACTGAAGAGATACAAGATGTTCTATCGCTGGCAGTTCACAGTTCTGTTGAAAACTGGATACTGGATTCAAGGGTATATTTCCATACATCTTCTCACCGGGAGTTAATGCAGAACTATATTGTAGGAAACTTTGGGAAGGTATATATGACTGATGAAAAAGGTCTAGACGTAGTGGGGATGGAAGACATTGATATTGCACTCCCTAACAAGAGCAAATGGATTTTGCAAAAAGTCATACACGTTCTTGAATTGAAGAAAAAACTCATTTATGTTGGGCAACTCAATGAGGGTGGTTATTTAGTAGTGTTCTCAGATAGTACCTAGAAGATTACTAAAGAAGCATTAGTACTGGCTCGGGGTAAGAAAACTGCACACTATATATGACTGCAGGTTTACTCAGACGTGAAAACATGAGCCAGAGGTGCATAATGGAGAAGCAAAAGAAAGTCAGTTTCCTAAAAAGTTACAGAATGTCAAAGGCAGGACAATCGAATCTTGGACGGACAGATGGTGAGGCAGGACAATCGAATCTTGTACGGACAGATGGTGGAGAACCACAAAGTTATGAAGCATTAGTACTGACTTGGGGTAAGAAAACTGACACGTTCATTAGTACTGACTCGGGGTAAGAAAACTGACACGTTATATATGACTACAGGTTTACTCAGGCGTGAAAACATGAGCCAGAGGTGCATAATGGGGAAGCAGAAAAAAATCAGTTTCCTAAAAAGTTACAGAGTGCCAAAGGCAAGACAATCGAATCTTGTACGGACAAAATGGTGGAGAACTACAAAGTTATGAAGAAATCTGACAAGATAAAAGTTCGAGCAAGTGGGAGCTGACCGAACTTCCACCAGAGAAGGAATTACATAACAAGTGGATGTACCGGGTGAAAATTGCGATTGATGGCAGTAAGAGATACAAGGCTGAACTTGTTAAAAAAGACTTTCAGCTGAGGAGGGATATTGTCCATGCAGTGGGAGTTGTAAACAGATTCATGAGTAACCCATGAAAGAGTTTGGAGGTACAAAGTTACGTTGACGCTGATATGTCAATAAAGATGTTATTTTTGAGAAACTGAAGTTGTGTGCAGCTTCAGTTAGTCTTCTAGCATGAAAACAAAGAGGCTCTGAGTTGCAGAGGTAGAGGATATTATATTTGAGGAAGAGGACGGTGCAGCCAATGAGGGGTGAGGCAGCCAGTGTCTCAGTCTCCAAGTGAGAGAATTGTTGAGGAAGATGGAGCCCGATCCACTGCAATTTGGGAAAATTATTAGATTCCTTGCAAAGCTCTCTTATTTACAGAAATTTAATAATTTTATTTCCTAATGATTTTTTCTTTCCCGCCTCTTGTTTCTGCCATGAATGGTAGCTGTCTTTGGTGGTAAGGAATTTATAATTCCTTTTTTGTATAATGAAGGCTCCCGCCACCAGCTTGAATCTTGCAGAAGAAATTTGCTTCCTAAATTTCTTCATGAGTTTTTCTATTTAAATCAAAGGAGTAAAGAATCAATCCTGTGTGGGGACTTCTTGGTTATTGCTTCTTGGTGAGATTAGGCAAGTGCAAGAAGCAGTTCCATATATTGCTACTTCACGGTTTATTGTGTGTGGCTTACGGGAGAAGCAGAAGGCAACGCAAGGCTTAGTTCTCGGTTTCTCCTTCTTCAGCAGTGGCTCTCGGGTAGAGAGAGAGAGAGAGGAGAAGAGAGGTGAGAGCGAAAGAGAGAGAGTTCTTTCTTGTAATAATCCTCGAAGCCAATAAAATCCTCTGCAACTCCATGGACGTAGCTAATTTACCGAACCACGTAAATTTGTGTGTTTCGTTGTTTTTTAATTTTGTGTTTTTCTCAATCTGATTTTTTGCTTTATTGCCGCCGTTTTTCACAACAATATGAACTATATATGCTATCTGCTTTTAAAACCAGCACAATCAAACACAAAGAAGATATTGAAAGGGAAATAGACAGATATGGGCCTGCATACTGGAATCGAACCAGTATAGGCCTAAATGTAGGCAAATGCATAAATTTGCATAATAGAAGAGGCATAGTGCATAAGCTCGGATCAGAAAGAAAGGATGAATATATAATTTTCTATCACGAAAATGCTAAATTATAATGATGATCAAACGAATTTGGTTAAAAAAGTCTTCCATTTAACATAATGGCTTTACAAGTTTAAGAGGATTAGAAATCTAGGAGAAGTATCATCTCTTCTGCAATTTTT